ATGGAAACAATGCTGTGTGTCTTATACGATTTTCCATGGCTAACTTCTATCAATTTAATTGAAAAAGTATCAATTGTTCGCAGACACTTTATTTTAGGAAAAACCTAACGATATGATATATCGGAGAAATCGTAATAAAATGTTCTAATCGGTAAAGCAATAATCAAGTATGATTGCCATTTCAAAAAACTCAAATTTGTGTCATATGTCAAAAATTACAGTTATTTTGGAGAAATGCCTTATGCCATCCTACAAGTTTTCGAATTTAATGTTTTTCTATCAAATTAATATCAATTGAGACAGGAGTAATTTAAAAATTTACCAGAAATAAGTTTTTCCCAAATATCTCTTGACAGCTGTCAAATTTTAGAAAAATAAAATTGGTTTTTAGTAGAGCATTCAAAACTACAATTCTTGGTCCATTCCATGAAAAAAACTCCCTTGTAGAAAACTAGGGTTATTTTCAGGCCTAGAATGTGTGGTTAAAATAATGCCTCTTCCTGATGAAACACCTGTAACTGAAATATTACCACTACAACATTATGAACAAAAAATAAACTCTGATAGTTAGTAACTTGTCTAAAAAATGTTAGCAGATTTTTATTTTTCTTCTTCGAAGTGCGAACCAAACGATCCTGCTCTGGGTATCCATCAGGTGAACTTCGTAAACTTCGCATCGTCAAAAGCCAACCCTCAGTCATATTTGGAGTGCGCGAAACCACGTGCTTTCAAACCCGTGCATTTCTAAAACGATAAATTCACTTGTGTCTCTATAGAGAAAAAGTCCCTTAGGCCGCATAACGGCCTAAAAGTGCTCAGCCGCCCATCAAAATCAACCGTGCCAGTGAAATCAAAACACGTGCAAAGCGAAGCGTAAACGCTCAGAACCTGCAAAAGAGACGAGTAAGTGTAAAAACCAAAAGTTCTCAAGACCAAGCTCCCCAGAAGCCCTCGAATCCCTCGACACGCTCGGAGAGGAGAACTCTTTTCTCCACTCCGTGTGTGATGGGCAACTATCGCTCCGCTTGCAAGTTCAAAACACCCTAAACGCCACCCGGTTCAATACGAAAATAAGACAACCTCAAATGAGCCTAGAGAAGCCCACGCGGACTCGAATTTTTCACCACTAAGAGCCTCAAAGGCTCCCACCAGACCCCAAACACCAACGCGCGCCAACCACTCCTAAACCCGTCAAAATCGCCTTTAAGCTGGGTTCTCATGAGTCCGGAATGCGGAATGTGGAAAACCTTCCGACCAATCAGAAGTTTGCCGGATGCGTTCGCTCCGCCCATACGCAGATATTTCCAAATTTTAATATTTCCCGCATGGGTGTGGAAGAAGATGTAAACCTAGGTTATCTCCAGTGATGCTCTAGTGAAAGGTTATGTTCAGCAGCGTCTATACGACCATCTTTCATTTTGATGTCTTTGTTTCCTTCTTTTCAGAACGTACAAAGACAAGAGCAGATTTAACTTTTGGTGTCGAACGTTCATTTCATGCGCCTCAAAATACTGGGAAGAAAAAATGTAGAAAAAGGGGTTGTGTCGTGTCTCGCTTCCCGAAAGATATGCCAACACTGTCGGCGGAATGCGAAAAAATAATCCGGATACATGTGAACTGCGTTAATTTTTCCGCGCGTAGTAGTGGTAGTAGTAGGCTGCGCGCACACTTTCCACACTCCGCTTCCGCATAGCATTCCGGACCCATGAGAACCAAGCTTAAAAAATTTGGAAATTCATCACCAATCAAAAAAACCACCGCAGGCATATTAATTTACTCCTCCCAGCCCTGTCCAACTGTGGCACAAACACTTTCTGCCACAGAAGTGAAGACAAACATTTTATAAATCCTGGTTCAAACCCACCGGTATTCCAACAAACTGCTGTAACTGCGGAGGGCCTTACCCTGCCAGTGATTTCAAGTGTGAGCCAGTAATCGCTCATTCAACAGTAAAGCGGAAGCAGGTACTTCCTATGCCCAAAAGAACAAAAAATCCCCAACTCCATTAAGTCCCCCAAAAAATCAAAACAGTACCACTCCAAAATACTCAGCCATTAAACCCGCAGCCAATTCAATTTCTGCTTCTCCCAATATCCGAGATTAATGACCTAGTTAACTAAATTGCGGCCCTGATTTCGAAGAACCCGGTGATTATATAACATGGTATTTAAATAACATATTAATCAGGAAACTCCCACCCCCTTTTTCTCCTTGAGGGCCTGGGTCAAGAAAACCACCTGCATAAATCAACAAAGTTACTAATAATTGCAATAGAGAGTCAAGGCTTTGACCAAGGGCTCTATTAACAATCAACACAAAGGGAAGCGCAAATTTCAATATTTTTTGCAGTTTTCTTCTTTGTGCCGACAGTTGTGCTTATAATTAGCTTTTTACGAAAAGCGTCAGTAGATCAGTACCTAGATCTTGATCATTTGCTTCTTGTGATCTGTATCAAACTATCAAAAAAACGTTTGGCTTTATGGCCACTAAACCGCTTAAAATGTTGCACGCTTTTCCACTTTTTCTTAGTAGGCAAGAAATTAGAAAACCGATGTAAACCTAGAAAGTAACGTATAAGACTTTGTTACCTGTGTTTTTTTTTCTGTCAGACAATGCAAATTGATGTGTTCCTATAAAATTATCAGTTGGAATAATGGCGCTTGTACAAAACATACAAGTTTCCAATAGTCCATTGCAATTTTCTCTAAACGCAGTATACAGAAGACGAATGGCTTCACATAAATACAATTTCTCGAATAGGTTTAACAGCAATTGGAAAATTTATTTTCAATCTAGGCGCAAAAAAGCTCATTCCATTGACAAATTTACAACTGATCTACTTTTATGACTTTAAATGCTCTAGGTTTTGTTCGGGCTCCCTTAACTTCATCCAACCAGTTTTCAACAGTTTCAGCTTTGGTTTGCTAGTTAATTAGTCTGATATTCGTTTCCCATATCAAATTAACCTTATCGGACGAGAAATTCTTGTGGTGCCCAGTCTTTGTGTAGAAATAACTCCGTAATGAATGAATTTAATTAAAGAGGTGGTAGTTTTATTTCGACCTCAACAGGARTCACTAAATATTCTAAATTTCTTACACTGCATGATACCCAAAATGATGTAGGCATGATATAACTTATTCTGATTTCTTCGCCTTYGGTATTACCAGGATAACAATAAAAGTCTGCCTCGTCTGGGTTTTTTYTGCAAGTCCAATGCTCTGACTACTAATTYCTTGCTRTTCAAAATTTTCCTTCTTGTCTCTCTTTCACGGTTATAAAACCCTAAAAATGTTGTTGTTGTTTTTATTTCATATTTATCGCTAATACTGCAGGTGTMRMTGCCTGGAAGTYCAMRTTTWWTMTTAATCGAAATARTTTTTGAARMAYTTTGAACTAAAGTGCTCAAGAAAATAAWTKCTACACGATCAAATGTGCCCTAACTCTTTGGAACWKGWTCACTTTTGCTTGCTACGAGCGATCTSATTTCTGTTTCAAGTGTCACTTAGTTCAATTATTMTTCGGTCACTATGWGTTTTTGCAAAAATGTAGTTCAGCAGATAARGTCYCTACAGGGTGGAAATGAACCAATTCCAAATTTGTTAAAAATTGGCAGGCACGCAGTTGAACAAAAAATATTGTTCGGATTTCAAGGATTTGAAACGATTTCTGCATTTAACATAAAGCTTTAGCTTRAACTTGAGCTCTATATTTGGAAAATCGCCCCCAGACCAAAAACCGAAAGCTAAGCGAAAAATATATTCCAAAAGTCTGTCTTTCTGCCTTTGGTGTTGAAATCCAAAAACAATTTTTTTTGCACAATTGGGAGCAACTTTCAGCAAGTGGACAGGAGTTCTTGAATTCTCTGTCTCCCTCTGAAGCACTAAACTTTGACAAAAACGGAGATTGACGAAAAATAATTGAGCTACAACAGAAAACAAACCGCTCACAGGAATTGAATTATCCAGTTTCTAAGTTAGGGCAAATTTGGCTCTGAAGCATATTTTCTTGGAAAACTGGAAGCTATAGAASTGTTAAGACTCATCAGACTGATTTAAATCCTTGYATATATTGTAAATTTTCCTCATTGTTAGAGCTTCTGCTAATTCCAGGTCTRTATATTTTCTTCAACTATAGATTTTACGACTGTAGTGACTCTAAGAYAGCTAATAAGATTTTTCGCTGCCGCAAATGTGGCWGGAGGTTTTGCATAACGTACGYGTTTATACATATTTACTTYTCAAMTCTTTAGGGAMTTTTTCCACGAAAAAACCTACAGTGCTTTTGCTGTCTTGCATCGACKTTCAGCGATTCTGTTGCGAACAGGWTTATTTCTTTTATGAATAACTTTTCYACTATGAGCAATTAATGCACATTTTATAYAGCTTCAAAATATTTKTCTTTTTAAGTACTGACTACTGCCCGAAATCTTTTAGGAGGCACCTTGAGCTGTATATTCTTGCTCGTAGTGAAGATCGGGATTCTTTAAGCTTAGAACTTTCGAAAAATCACGCGTCAGGTAAAAAAATAAATGTCTACAAAGTAAAAAAACTCGGTTGTTCACTGCAGTGAAGCTTTGTTCACAATTTTGTGTATAAATTATTTAAAAAATGTTAAGCCCCATAATAGATCGCATCATTAAACCAAATCTGTACCCAGAACAGCTACAAGTGTAAAGAGACATTTATTTCCTGTCCGCATAGCTTTCCGCCGTCAATAACTCAAAAGTAAAAGTTGAAAATCTTGTTTTGCATCTCATGTAAAAACACTCTAATAACAGCATTTACAACTAATAAACATCAACAAACTATGTATCAACCTGTTTCAGTGCGAGGACTGCAACTATTCCTGATTTATCACCCGCAAAGCTTTCAGGTCATCATTTTGAAACACTGCCCATAAATCAGTTGAGAAAATGTAATTCAGGAAAATTGTGTATATAAATTCGTAATAAGCTACAATGATCATTCGGGAGATAAATCTTGTTTGTTTGGTCTCAGCTTCAGCGAGGGCGAGCAGGCGACATGAGGCGACGTCCAGCTACAGGGTCCTCGTGACAACATGAACACTTCGCTACCGACAAATGCATCTGTCGCCACCTTTGCTTCCCACGAGGCAACGTATACTATTACACAAGTCGTCTTCATCGGCACTATTGGTAAGTTGCATTTACTTTACGTTCTGGTTTCAACATTATCCGCTTCTCTACTTCCATTATTTACTTTGACTTTGTTTTCTTCTCTTCAATATCTAGTGCCTCCATATCTTCAGATCGTGGTGTCTGTTTCTATTACTCACTCTATTAATTGAAGATTGCGCATAACTGAGTTTGAGATGATCCTCTATCTTGAATCTGTAGTATCCAGTATATTGTTATTAACTCAATAGCGTCTTGTTGCTTCGTTGATTCTAGCCAACTTCTAAGTTCTAAGTTCCTCAGGCCAGATTTTAGGAGATAAAAAGTGAAAATATAAAATTCGGGCAGCCGAGAAGCCTTTATTATTAAATAATTAATTCTTTACACCATTCCAACAGCTGCAAATATAATGGGCAACAGGACATGGTGTGGCTTTTAGAAAAAGCTTTTAAGTACCGTTTTGTTCTGTAAATTTACATTTTACGTAATTATTCTGCAAATAAAAAAGCACTAATTTGTTTAAAGTGACCTGCTACATGCTGTAATTTATATTTATTCAAAAGCAAAAGCTATTTCACCAATTAGGCATGAAAACATTGATTTAATTGAATTATTTAGCCATTCTTGTACTGAAGAACACGACATTATGATGGTTTTGTATTAATTTGTAAACTTTTTGTTTCAGCTGCAATTTTGTCACTGCTCACAGTGGTGGGAAACATTATGGTAATGATATCATTCAAGATAGATAAGCAACTGCAAACAATAAGCAACTATTTCCTGTTCTCCCTCGCCGTCGCTGATTTTGCCATCGGGCTCATTTCCATGCCGCTCTTCACTATTTCAACACTATTGGGTAAGTTTCAATGCATTATACAAAAATCGTGCACAATAGACATGCATAAAAACAATCTTTTGGTGTCACAATAATATTCAGTCGAATCTCTAAATTTCACCGTTTAGTATTCGGTCTGGTCTCAATTTATCTTCCTGTTTTATTATTGTTTTGAGTAAGTGATTTTTCGAACAATCTGGCGATGTTCCTCTTTTAATTTCAGTTTGTTCTTCTTGTGAATTAAAAAAAGTTTGTTCTCCAAAATATTGTAATTAATTACTTGCCGAAAAGGTTTCCAGTAGTAGTAAATTATTGTACTCACAAACACACCTGTTTAGAAATGTTTGCTAAAATATTCCTCAATCCTCTTTACAATGATCTTAATTGATATCTTCATCTCGCGAATTACTTTTTGCATAATAATTATTTAATTATTGTATTATTATCCCTTAATATACCTTCCTGTAAAATATTGTTATTGATTACTTGCGAAAAGGGTTTCAAGTAGATGCTTTTATTTTCTGGTTTTTGCTTTTGTTGCCCCAAATTATTTCTAAACATTTTCGTTAAAATGTTCCTCAATCCTGTTTACAATGAACTTAATTCACCTGTCCTTGTAAATTACTGCTTACGTATTCATTAATCATTAGTGTCACGTAAGATACGTTCTCTAATTTATTGTAATTGTTTACTTGTAAAAAGGGTTTAAAGTAGATGCAATTATTTGCTGTTTTTTTGTTTGGTAGCGCCAAGTTGTTTGTAGAAACATTTGCTGAAAAATTCCGAAATTCTGTTTACAATAAGCTTAATTTGTTTTGTGGACTATTTCTTAATTATTCAATGTTTTGCATTTACTTTCTCTTGATATACGTTCCTCTAAAATATTGTAGTCGTTTACTTGCGAACAAGGTTTCAAATAGTCGCATTATTCTCTATGTTTTCGCTTTGCTGCAACAAATTTTTGCTCAAATATTCCTCAATCATCTTTGCAAATATTTTAATTGATATTACCTTCTTGTGCATTAGTTCTTACTTTTATTATTATATTACTTTCTCTTATTATTCCTGCAATCGTTTACTAGCGAAAAGAGTTTCAAGTAGTTGATTTTATTCACTAGTTTTTGTTTTATTACAATTATATTACGCCAGATTCTCTGTAGAAACTTGTGTTTTTTGTGGTATTTCTCAATCCTGTTTCTGCTTAGTTCTATTTTACTTTACAGTTATCACTTCTATACTCTTTGCTGAAGTGTTTGCGTGATTTCGTTCTTCATTTCAGTTCCTCTCAAATATGTATTTTTAATTTATAGGATTAATTGTAGGTTAAGGTAGCACCAAAAAAACTTAAACGCTTTTAAAAATGCTGCTCACATATTGCGGTATGATGGTTGACTAGAAACGGGAAAAATAAGGATTTGTTTTGCTAAGCTTCGGGAATTCATCCGCTAGGTATTTAGGTCATATTATGTATTCAGGGCAGTGCATAATTGGATGGGGAGAATAAAATTAAATCTGCAATATAGGCCGCACGCCCATATACTGTCTAACGCAGAAAGAATCAATTAATTCTCCCTTGAAACGGTTAACATCTATAAATCTTATGCACAAAAAGGAGCGCATTTATAACTTTTTTAACGAATTAAGCTTTGGATGTTAGTAAACTGTACATATTTATATAGTAGACTGTGTTAAAATTTTGCCAAAATGTTTTTGTTAAAATAATGCCGAAAAGTCTTACATTTTCTTAGGAAACAGTTTCCTCCAAAGCTTTTGTGTCTTGTAAAAACTTTATCTAAAAATGTTTCAAGAAAATAGAAAAAACTTTGCTAGCCAACTAATACTTATTTCGTAGATAAGTTCTATATTGTTGAGGCGGATTCATTTTTTTACAAACTTCTTTTTGGGTATTTCGCCTCAAAAATTTTTGTCTTTAAAAAGACAGAATTTCCGCACGTCTTTTATTACAGATTGATAAATAGTGCTCCTATTTCGCAATAAGAACGAATTATTCATCAAAAAGTAATCAAGAACTATCACCTAGAGGG